CCTTACTCCACACAGTACCTCCGTCCCTTACTCCACACAGTAACTCTGTCCCTTACTCCACACAGTACCTCCGTCCCTTACTCCACACAGTAACTCTGTCCCTTACTCCACACAGTACCTCCGTCCCTTACTCCACACAGTAACTCTGTCCCTTACTCCACACAGTACCTCTGTCCCTTACTCCACACAGTAACTCCGTCCCTTAGTCCACACAGTACCTATGTCCAGTGATTTTCCCTGCTTGGGGTCAGCCTGCAGTTTGTTGTAATGAATGGTCGCTTCTCCCTGTTTAGAAAATAGAGAGAAGTTGGAATAAAGAATTAGCTTAACAAAAGATAAGAGCGTGGAAATGTGAAAAACTGAAGCTAATTATAAATTCAGCAGTATTTCATACTGCCAAGGCAAACCATGGACATTTAAGGACCAGCGGCACATCCAGGGCCAACCTGGGATCAGATCCAGGTCCCTCTGTGACCCTGTACTGATTTAGTGGTTAAAACATGCATGGAAGGAAATCCTTTAAAAATGTGCAAGGCAGGCAATATTAGCAGAGACCAACATCAGCCAAACACTAATCCTTAACTTCTGACAGCAACCAACAAACCCATTTACCCACTGGTGTCTGGAAAAACAAACACACCAGGCCAGCACTTTACAGGGACTCTGAACAAAGGGACGACAAGACAACACTTCTAATGGGCACGTGGGCATGTCACATGACACAAGGACAAAGCCTCCCGCTTGGCTGCAGGCCACTACAGCCGCACGAGGGAAACATCCTATTTCCAGCAACTGCATGACTAAAGCAGCACGTTGCATCCACCTGTGAGTACCTGTACTCCGCCTTTCATGATTATTATTGTAGTTTCCTTATTAATAGGCATACCTGCAAAAATGAGTGCTGACATTTTATAAAGTGCATCTGTTATAATTACAGTAAAATTATACTGACAATTTTAGTGATAATTAGTGAATATTTGAACTGAATAGTTAATGTTCAAATAAACCCTCTTTACAATATTTAAATGTATTAAAAAACAAAAGAGAACCATGGGGATGTATTCAGAATGTCTCTAAGGTCACATATCCATTTAATCACTGATGCATTTAAAACCATACGAGTATCATATATAAGGCTATAAAAGAACAGCAGAATATCTGCCAGTGTCCATTCACTCCCCTGCAGCTCCAAGCCCACCTGCACAGCCTGGATCATCTTAGCCACCTCCACCTTGGTCTTGCCCTTGACGGGTTTTCCATTCACCCCGGTGATCTCATCTCCGGCTGCCAGGGTCCCTTCCAGCGCGGCCGGCGTGTTGTCAAACACCTGGAAGGGAACGAGGAACAGCTGAAGGCTGATGTGGTAGCAGGTGTCATTACGCAGAGGTGAGGGAGCAGCGACGGGGGCTAAACCCGACAAAGACCTGCAAGTACGAGTTCGCTCATTCATACACACGCAGCAGAAAAACATCCCCTCCACAAGGTAAAGTCATCATAAGGTTCTCGTACCTGTACTATGTAGAGACAGGGGCAGTACTGGGCCCCCCCTCCAATGCTGATGCCTATGAGGTTCTGCGCATCCTTCTTTAGGGTCACAGTGCCGGGGACAGTCGGGATCCCTCTACGGGGGACAAACCTTGACTTTACCTCGTCTCGATTTTTGAAAGGTAAAAGTAAATTAAAATTGCTTGTTCTTTTACTCACAGAAAAAAGGTAAAAATTTGTACCTTTGCTTGTCACTGAGGCTGTACCTTTGTAATTGTACCTTTTAAGGTACAGAATTAGACTCTGGGGAATATCCCAAAGGTACAAACAACATTAATGTACTATCAGTAGTACAGAAATGTTAATGAGTCCATATCTGTACCTTAAAAGGTACATTTATCTACAGCTAAGGGTACAATTGGCTGATCCTTGGGGGTACAGCACCAGGAACAAGCAAAGGTAGAAATTTTTATTCATTTTTCTGAGAGTGTATATACTGGCTGAGGCAGCTTCCAAATAGTATTTTATAGTACTACAATTGCCACATAATCGTATAAGAAAACATTCTTATTGAATTTATGGTGTTTCAACAATTGGCAAAATGTTATAACATTACAGAAAACAGATTGATAACAAAATTGCTAATTCGGGAGGTGATCTGTCAGTATTAGTTAAAAACTTACAGCTTGTCTTCCTCCAGCTCATAGTCCATGTCTGTGAACATCGCGAAAGTTTATAAGCGTCTCCGGCGTTGGAATCCTGGCTGCCAGTGAAAAAAAGTGTAAGGTAATATAAAAGGCATATGGCGCAGCATTTGCAGAGAATGCAATAGCCATTCATCTATACATTCGCAGGCTAACATTAAGTGCCGCGTATGCTAATAACTTAATAAGACGAACACCAGCAGCAATATCAGTTTCGACTGGGCACCGCTTATCGGGGGTGTTCATGCCACCACCGTCACAGCTGGTGTCACCCGTACTGCTGCTAGCTGCCTGGTTTTCACAGCGAGAACAAAATATTCCAACAGCTACGACAGGCAAGCACAGCGCATTATTAAATTAACGCCAGACTTCATTAATAAATAGAGAATTAGGGGCACTGCTCACACAAACGAAACACTACCGGTTTGTAAGGCCGCTTTTGCTAGCCGCACATTTAAAAACATTCAGAGATGGACCCACCTTTGAGGCTAGTTAGCAGGGTAGCTATTTCAGACACCGCCGAAGCTGACAGTTTCATGGGGAAATAAAGGAACCATACGTGTTCATGTGAGATTTACAAGATAAACAAGCCAAAACTATTATTCATATTTTTATTCTCATGTAAGCGGATACCAGGGGCAGGTTACTGTTTGCTTAATGTCGTCATTTCCGGCAGTTAACCGGAAATGTGTCTTATTCGGTGTTGCGGTATAAATAATGCATGAGCCGTGGGCAAGTTAATCAGTCCCACCGCAAATGATGAGCAGTTTTTGAACAGTGGGTTATTAAGCGGGGGGAACTCAAGATCATAGTCTGCTATAAAGTAATCTTATCTTAAAATAGTGAGTGCTTAACATATATTAGTATTATGGTAGAGAGATTTTAGCTAACCAGTGTAGTTTGTTTACTCATATAGAATACCTAGGTGACGTTAGTCTTTTATTAATAGAAATGAATTGTTTACATTAAGTTTGCATTAAGTCTAAATAGGAAAAATATGCATTTAGTTATAAAAGGATATAGGCTTGCACTTCTTTTTAAGGCAAAATGTTTATTGCTCTTATATTTAAATTCTTACAATATAACAATTGGTAATCATTTACAAAGGGTTTAGTTGGTTGTATTTTGAAAGCAGTCGTTTCAGTTTGTTTTCACCGTAGATTGTAAAAGCAGGGATTTGCTGTGCCTTTCAGAGGGCTGCTGCTGTCTGTGAATTCAGTGTTAAACCCCAGACCTCCAGTCGGCGTGTCTGACACCATGACCGTAAGCTGTATTATACACTGAGTGATCTTTACCTTCTGTTTCATACAACAAACAACTTTAATAGATATATTGACAAAATACACTCGTGTTATATGGACGACGGGCTCATTCTTTTTTAAGTTACACAAACGTAATAGCTTATTATACTATACTATTATACTACACTATATTACCAAAAGTATTGAGACACCCCTCCAAATCATTGAATTCAGGTGTTCCAATCATTTCCATAGCCACAGGGGTATAATGTCAAGCACCTAGGCGTGCAGACTGCTTCTACAAACATCTGTGAAAGAATGGGTCTCTCTCAGGAGCTCAGTGAATTCAAGCGTGGTACCGTGATAGGATGCCACCTGTGCAATAAGTCCATTCGTGAAATTTCCTCACTACTAAATATTCCATAGTCAACTGTTAGTGGTATTATAACAAAGTGGAAGCAATTGGGAACAACAGCAACTCAGCCACAAAGTGGTAGGTCATGTAAAATCATAGAGCGGGGACAACGCATGCTGAGGTGCACAGTGTGCAGAAGTTGCCAACTGTCTGCAGAGTCAATAGCTACAGACCTCCAAACTTTGTGGGGCCTTCAGATTATCTCAAGAACAGTGCATAGAGAACTTTGTAGAATGGAGTTTCCATGGCCAAGCAGCTGCATCCAAATCTTTCATCATCAAGAGCAATGCAGTGTTGGATGCAGTGATGTAAAGTACACCGCCACTGGACTCTAGAGCAGTGCAGACACATTCACTGGAGTGACAAATCATGCTTCTCTGTTTGGCAATCCGATTTATGAGTCTGGGTTTGATGGTTACCAGGGGAACGGTACTTGCCTGGCTGCATTGTGTTAAGTGTAAAGTATGGTGGAGGGGGGTTTATGGTGTGGGGTTGTTTTTCAGGGGTTGGGCCATACTCACCCATTCTTGAGTGCTTTTAGCTGTATGTTTGGGGTCATTATCCTGTTGGAGGACCCATGACCTGTGACTGAGGCTGAAATTTATGACACTGGGCAGTATGTTTCCCTCCAGGATGCCTTGGTAGTCTTCAGACTTCATTGTGCCCTGAACAGATTCAAGGATCCCCATGCTGGATTCAGCAAATCAGCCACAAGACAAAACCAAGCCCCTCCATGCTTCACAGTATGTATGGTGTTCTTTTCATTTAAAGCTTCATTTTTCCTTATGTAAACATAGGATTGATGTGACCGGCCAAAAAGCTCAAGTTTTGTCTCATCAGGCATTCTCTCAGAAACTTTGGGTCTTGTCAACATGCATTTTGGGGAATATTAGAGGAGCCCTCCTGGGTCTTCTTCCATGGAGCCCATTATTGTTCAAAATGTGACGTACCTTGCCTTGACCTTGGAGCTCAGCTTGAATGGTTTTGGATGGTCTCCTTGGCTCTTTTTCTACCATCTGCACTATCCTTCTGATCAACCTGGGGTGGCTGTATAACCTTATGTTCGGGTCAAAGGTCACTTCAGACTGACCTCCTTCAAGAATTGTTAAACGGTCTGCTGTAGGATGAGATTAACTCTGCACAGAATGCACAGTAACAGCAAACACTTAGAAATGAAGGTTTTTATTGTCAAAAGCAATTTATTGATTACATTTAATAAGCTAAACATTGTAAAATGTTGATTTTTCTTGAAAATGAAATTAAAACCAACTGAAATACTGATTATCGATTAAAATACTAATAAAGACATGCTTTTTTTTGTTTGATAATATATTTCTGTGGTTATGAAAGGAAAATGTTAGGGAACAGTTTTGTATACTTAACCCAGAGCAAAGTCTATGGGGTTGAAACAAAGTTGGAAAAAGCACATATTGTACTTTCCTACTACTTTTAACATATATGAAGTTATAAGGCATAAAGTTATACCGCACAAGAAATGGATTTTAAAAACAAAAATTGCAATAAAAATGAAAAGACACAGTTACCTGGATCTAAAATAAAACAATATAGATCAAACCTGAATGAAAAACCAAAAATGAAACAACACTTGATATCCTAAAAAGGAAAGTATAACTTGAGTAAAATGTTGTTTTTTTTTTGCCAGAAACAAATGAATGATGATTATATGAAACTAACGACACCCCTTCAATCTGCTGTTACAGTGTATGACATACAGCTTACAAAGGGTAGGCAGAGTGCAGAGGATACTTTTGGATTTGATTGAACTTTGAAATTTCCATTTAATTTCTACTGAATCTGTTTTTTGTATTTCCACTGTATTTATACTGCATTTTATTGATTGTAGATCTGATGAAAGTCTCACTGCATTGACAGCCTAGCAGTTTTACTTACGTTGTGGTCACCATCAGCATTAAGTAAAATCTGCAGCTCCTCTTCCTCAACAAGACAACAGAATCTTCAGTCAAATGAGATTGTCTAAGCTCCTGAGTGCTTGTTCTTTTGTAAATGCTCTCCACTCTTGGGGAATCTCACCATGTCCATGGAATTTTCTGTTGTAATACTTCTCCAGGTCACTTTGAAATCGGCACACAAACCACTTCCAGTATGGCAGCTCGGAATTATCGGGAGTAATACTCCAGCATGCGTATCTGGGACCAGCTTGTTTGTACTGTTTATACAGACATAAATCCTTATCTCTACAGGTGTGTGAGGGGTAGAATCGCTTATCACTGGCAACTGCAGTTGTACAAAATTCAATACAAAGATTATCAGTCCCTCTGTATATCCATCCATTGATTCCATTGGTGTGGTGAAAAGGGACTTGATGATCCCCGTCGTGACCTTTCACTGTGTTGGTGCAGATGGCTTTGCAGAAGGGACACTGCACCCAGCAGCATTCACACAACTGCTTGATCAGAATCTTATCTGGCCCTTCTCTGAATTTCCTCAAACTGATGGAGAACTTTGAAGTAAAATTCTCTTCTACCTGCTCAATGACTGTGCCAAGAGACCTTTCCATCACTTCCTGAAGGAAACCAAAGTCAGTAATATCTTGATGGTTCATACCTTTGATGTCATTTTCTGCAAATCTCAGTTCATCAGTCAGCTGTCTGGAAAAAACCTTGAGCCACATGTTTACATCGCCTTTACTCTGTTTGGTTTCTGCTGTTGCTGTGTTTGTTGCATGAAGTAAAGACTGATGTTTCTGTTTAATATTGATTTTGATTAAAGGAAGGATTTTGGAGGAGTTCTTGGCGCGGAGGTACATCTTCACATTATGTTTTATGAAATTTTTGAAGTGTTTCTCTGGGGTGTGTATGTACTCCATGAACTTGTCAAAGTTCTCTCCCTCTGCCAGCGATCTCAGGATGTGCACCTCCATACCTGATCTGTTCCCACTAAAGGCCGGGAAACTGGCCCTCATTTCTCCAGCTATATCAATGGCTGTTTTGTCACACACTGCCTGATAAATGGATTCTTTCAGTTTGGTGCAAATGAACTCCGCAAACACTGCCGCTGATGTTGCCCCCTGACAGTAGCTTTTGAAGATGCTGTAGTACTGCGGTTTCATACTGGCTAGGTACATTTCCACATCGTTTTTTTCCTTGAACTCCATGTGAAACTCAGTAAACTTCCTCTCTGCCATTTCACACACATACAGCAAAATGTTTATGATTAATTCTTTTTTCAACAGAAGTTTTTGGTGTTTTGATTCAAACTCCTTCACTTTCCTTGTGACAGCATGTTGTATTTCCTGAATGTAACTGTCATTGTAGCCCATTGTTGAAACTGGTGTGTTGTTAATGTACGCCTCCATTTCTTTAGCAACATCATTCAATAGTCTTCGTATTCTATCCTGATCTTCTGGTGTTAGCCCATTGTTCGATGTAGGAGATTCCAGATTTGTATTGTTTTTCACTGATATTAAATCAGTAACTTTTTTAAAGGCGTTTTGAAACCACGCAGCAAAAACGTTTCTCTCTTGATCTTGCTTAACTGAGTGTTCGTCCCTGTCACAAAGATCGTCTGGCTTCTTTAATGATATGTAGGGTGAATAATTTCCTAAGCACAAAATATTTTTGTAGGATGCAGATTTTTTTTGACTGTGTACCAGGCTGCTCTCATTGTCTTCAGATAGGATGCGTAGAACGTCGTCTCCTACCGTAATGCTCTTAATGGGAGTCTTGCCTTGTGTCAGCTCTGAAACCCACTCTGCCCACATTGAGTCAAACTCTTTCTTTGATTCCTCTTCATTGCTCATGTCTTTCAGTTTTAATGCCAGCTCTTTGCTCTTGTTGAAAAGCTCATTCTCATACTGTCTTCTCTTTTCATCTACTTTCTTACAAGCTTCTCTCTGCTGAATAACTTCATCAAATTTTCTTTTTGTTCCTTTAACAAGGTCATCATGAAGCTCACGGATCTTGCATAGAAATCTTCCCTTCCACTGAACCAGGACCTCCTTATCCTGGCTTTCTTCAAAGTATTGATTCATCATTTTCTTAACCTGCTCATAGGACTCCATCAGTTCTTCAACAAGAAATGCTTCGAGCATCATGTCAAAAGTTTCATTTTCAATCCTGTTATGTAGTTTGTTTTCAGTTACCAGCATTGCCCTCCTGAGTGTCCATGTCCATTTCCCATACTCAGTCTCCAGTTGTCTGTACACAGCAATTTCCAAAGTATTCTTAAAACTGAAGACAAAGTTTTCATTCAGGAGAGCATTCCAAAGATCATGGATTCTGGTTTTGAAATGTGACACTGTTTTTCCTTTTTTCTGTAACTTTGAAGTATGAGAGAATATTGTTTGCTTTAGGTCCTGGATGTTCTCACTGTAACACGGGTTTGGGGGGGCCATTGGTGGGCTGCCTTCCCAAAGCTGTGCAAAGTACTTCACATCTCTTGTTACATCAAAAGCGATGACATCACTGAAAGACTCCACATCACACTCTTCTTCTTTGGCAGCCAGTTGGGTCATCTTATCGAGCTTCTCCTGCAGACGCCTTTTCCCCTCCATGTTCTTCTCGCTAGCTGTGATGTCTCCCACATTCTGATGAACAAAAACACACCTGGGAGACAGCTTCACTTTTTTCATTCTTAAAAAAGCCTGAACTGCAATCTGAAGAATGTCTTGCATTTCTGCAGGATTTTCTCCAAATATGTTGATCAAGGTTGTATCTCCAAGACCTATGACAAAGGTCGCCAATTCATTGTCATGGTGGAGTGTTTCTTTACCAGCCAACTCCAAAGCTCTTAAGCCCTCTGTGTCAACAACAAGGACATAGTCATAACTTTGCTGCATTTTCATGTCTTCATTGAGTTCCACAAGCTGCATGAAAGCACCGCGTGTGCATCTTCCAGCGCTGACAGCAAACTGCAACCCAAACATTGCATTCAGCATTGTAGATTTTCCGGTGCTCTGAACACCCAAGACAGAAAGAACAAAGATGCGTTTGTCCCCAAGCTGCTTAATGACTTCATTCAAAACAGCATCTATCCAGTTCAGAGGAACATGTGCTGCATCACCGTCCATTAGCTCCAATGGGTACCCAGATATCATGAGTTTTGCAGCCAGTTCAGGTAGCAAAGAAATGTTCCTCATTTCTCCTTTTATTGTTATCTGATCTTTCTGACCTCTCCAGGCTTCATAAATCTGACCAATTTCTCTCAGAAAGTGTTCAATTCCAAAAGTAGCAGCATTTAACTCCTCCGATATGGTTTCCAGTTCCTGTTGATTCATTTCCAATTTCTTTGACGTAGCACGATCTTTTTTTAAAGCCAGAAGAGAGGACCACTTTTGGTCATACTTACGTTGAAGATCTAGCAGTGTGCCTGAGGAATGATTATCCATCAGAATCCCCAACCATTTTAAGAAATATGCTCTTTGATTTGAGTTCAGAGTTGCCAAATTATTGATAAATGATTCCATGAGGTTACTCAGTCCGCAGTCTCTTTGTTTTCTTCGTATTGTTCTCATGTCCTGTTCTACTTTGCTCTTGTGCTTCTCAATGTCTCCATGTAAGCGATACAGATCTTTGTTTTTCTGGCTCCAGTCTTGCCACAATTTTCCCTGACAAGGTAGAAACTCCTCTTTGATTTTGAACAGCTTGGTTTCTTTCAGTTGCTCCAGCAAGTCGAGTGCACATGCCTTCCCCTTTTTACAGTCTTCATTGTCCTCATCCACTTTGAAACCTGACGTCTGCAATGCATCTTCAAGTTTGAAGGCCTGATGTGGTTTAGACAAACTTTCTCTGATGCTCTTTATCAAGTCCTTGAATATATCAGACTGATTTCTATTTTTTAGCCCGATTTTATATTTTCCCTCAGACATGTCAGTTATAGCACTGTCATCATCGTCAAGTAAACATATTAGAGGTTTAGAAGACCTGAAAAGCTCCTCTACAATTACCAAAGCCTTATTATCTTGGGTTAGGTTTGGTAAAAAGACAACATTGACTGAGGCAGATTTGGTCAAAAACTTTTGCTGCAACTCATTTTCTTCCCCATCACCATGGAGATTGCAGAACGCCACACAGTCCCTGAAATTATCAGTATCTTTCCCAGAAGGACAGTACCAAGCAATTTCCACAACTCCATCCATCAACAATCGTTTTTGACTGTTTCCTGGACAGTGTCTGTGGAAGAATGTGTTGTGTCGTTGGTTGATTAAGCCGTTCAACAGCAAAGACTTGGAAGTAGACACTGAGCCTAGCCTGAACACTGAGATCATCGGCAATGCGGCTTTGGAGATTGGCATGGCTTTGCTTGTCACTTCACCGGAGTCTCCATGTGACTTCCAGCTTTTGGTTATTTGCCGAAATGTCCAGAGTGGACATTGTATCTCTTGAGTAGTGGGGTTAATCACAATGAGAGGCAGTGCGTACTGACACTGGGACAGCTTAGTAACCATGTACTGCTTAAGGAAATCATCTGCACAATGAAACACAGCCATCTGAACATCCATTGGGTGGATGCCGTTCTTTTTGTTGCTCTCGTCATCACTCACCGTTTTTCTGAAGAGCGCATTAAAAGCAGATGTTGGGGCATCATTGATTCTAGCCTTATCAATAGACCTTTCACTGCATGCGTTACTGTTCTCCTCTTTGACAGTTACATATCTGGCCCTGTAGTCCATCATCAACAATCTCTGCAGAAAAGCATAGGGCATGTCTTGCTCTGTTCGCGGCTGCTGCTGCAGCAGTGAGGAGCAGCTAATTTGAAGAAAATCATTCGTTGTTAATTTATCTTGTAGCTGAAGTCGCCTCAGGAGCTCCTTAATATCCGTGTCCTCGCATCGTGGACCTTCAGCCCTCTTGCTCTCGGTTTGGCCTGCTCTCACTCGGGCGTCCTTTAAAATCAATTACATCATACTGTTAGCAGGAATTTCAAAAATAATGTCACTCTTGATTTCTTTCTTCTGGCCCCTCCAGAAAATAACCCAGAATTATATTTTTCTTCATTAAAACAGTGGAAATCAATGAAGCATCAATAGTTGAAGTGATTGTAACAATATTAATGATTAATTTAGTAAAAATTTACCTTGACTTCAACTGTGACATCTTCAATGCTGGATGAATGACCTCCTTGCTCTAATGATTTAGAAATATATATATTTTTTTAAAATGAGACATGACAGATTTGTGAACATTTTAAGTTTTAATTTTCAGTTCTTTTCCGCCCCTGGACCTCTATAACCATCTCATATCTCTATTATAAGCTCCAGAATATCTCCCAAATGTTACCAGCAGGAAAATACAAAACCAGTTTAAATACCTGATGCAGGAGTCTCCTCTTCTGGTGTCTCAGCATGTCCAGTGAAAGGTTCTTGCTGCTCTTCATCTGCTTTCTCCACATTGTACATGTCTTTGATGTAGTAACATTGTGTCTTCCCTGATATCATGATCTCTACCTTTTCAAGCAGCTCTGTGACCATAGCTGAGTCATTTTTGCTTTGATGACAAGTGTGGTACCTTCCTCCACAATGATCTAGAATTTGCTCAATAACAGTGTTTCCCTTCAGGTCGTCCATGACTGTGTCCTCCTGTGCATCATCATATGTAAAAACTATGATTGTGAACTCCAGAGATCTTGCTCCAAACGATTCCAGCAGCCAATCCAGTCCACAATTCTCTGTGATTTGACCCAGGGGTACGAGCAGGAGGAAAGCATGGATTTCGTGGTTACAGAGGGAGACCCACAGCTGCTGCCAGTCGACCTTCTGGACGAATTCAGTGTCCCGGAGGCCCAGCATGTTGATCACAGAAAAGCAACGTCCAGAAACATTGCATTTCTTCAGTGTTACCTGTGGGTGCCCACTGATTTCTGGCTGAAACTTCTGATTTCCTAAGGAAATGGTCCCTGATCCAGCCAGCAACATGGTGAGCTCTGTGGTTTTCAGCTCTTCATGTAAAACTGCTGCAATTTTAAAAGGGAAACTTCAAGTTAATAATAATTTAATGCAAACATTTGCTATGCCCTTAGCTTAATCAAAATAAAAAAGCAATAGATTTAGATAGTAATAAACATGGTGCTTTTGTTGCCCTGTCTGCCTAAATTATAATGTACTAGCAGATTCTGTTGAAAAGGTAGAGAACAACCAATGATGAACAAGTTTATATCAGAAAAAAAATCCTTTAATTTTCATATTATAAATGTGGTCAGCCTCTGTCAAGACCCATTCTGTACATCATTTCCTTGTTTGGCCAGCAGGTGTCACTATGTTCTTTTCCTAGTGTGTTCCACTGAGCATCTCCTTCATCAGGGATTGAATATTTTAGGTTCTATGCCATAGATTATGTTGCGTAATCCCTATGAATTATGTTTCCTTGTGCTTCTGTATAGCTTCTTGTTTTATACCATTGATAGTTGTTCCTGTTTGTATCTAGCTTTGTAATTATGTCCTGTTTCACCTGTGTTCCCTGTGTCTCCAGTTTAGCCTTAGTGTATGGTGTTTGCACAAGGTATTCACAAGCAATCAATCTGTAACAAGCCCAAACCTGTCCATTGTTGAAACCTTGTCATGTATATTAGTGCCTGCCCATGCCTTGTCCCTCTGTAAGTCACTGTGAGTATTATTAGTGCTGTGCATTTGGTCTTGTGTGTTCCCTGTATGTGCAGTTAATAGTTTCTAGCCAGTGTTTCCCTCCACGTTTGCATATGTTTTAGTTTTAGCCCTTGTGACTTTCTGTTTCACCCACCTGCCTTTGTTTTGACCCCTCATGGACCCTTTGGTTTCTGTTACTTGTAAATTTGGTTTTCTAGTAAATGTCTTTTTGTCTGTAAGCCGCACAGGGATCACCATCCATCATGCCTAATCATTACAGTGTGTTTGTTGGCAAATGCTTCCTTGTTTAATCTTATTATGAGTCCTCAGTTCAGTCCTACTTGGGAGGGTGACGTAAAAAATCACTTAAATGTCCATATTCACTTGAACATTATGGAAATCATTATACATTAACAGATGTAAGATGTATGACGGGACTATTGTCTTGAGTCTTTGAAGTTTATTTGTATCATGCCATGTAATTATTGGTCTGTTAACTAGTCCACTGTGATGCATTCTCACCATTTTCATTTGATGGTTGTACATCAGGATACTTCCCATCAGCCATCTCTTCCACTTCAAGGTTTCTCTGCAAGACACAAGGAGATTCTCATTTTGTCAGATTAATTTGCTGATAAAATATTTGTATGATGGCTCACGTTTTACTACAAAATGAATATAAAAATACAGAAAGATGTTTTAATAATCTAGGATGACCTGAGGCATTACATCAAATACCAATCAGCCATTTTAGTAGTGGTTTTTTCCAAGTTTGCCAATGTCCATTTTTCTAATATTGTACATTTAAGAGCAGCTCACTGTGTTTTTGTTTTGTCCTTTTACTTCCTCTTAGTTTTTCATGAAGCATGTAATATCCTGGCTGAGTTGGAAGGGATGTTAGTTCATCTATCATCTATCATCTCATGGCGACATCCAGAGATTTTAAAATAGGAGAAACCCCTTCAGATTCATGCTCTGCAGGACTGCCTGACATCCTGGATCTCAATTGGATATTTTTATCTTGAATTTTTTTGGTCAATCATTTTTTCTGTGCACAAGCTTTGAGAGTCGAAACTGACTTTCCAGCAAAATCAATGGGGAAAAAAAACAATAAAATTCGTACTTGTTTAAGAACCTTTTTTTCTTAACAAACATTCTACATTACATTTTTAAATTTAACCTAAGTTAACAATTTTGAGATATCACTATGCTCATTTTAGCTAATGTATTTAACAACGGATAGTGATAACGCAGGTTAATGTGGAGCGGTCTGGTTGCTCATACCCCTGGCCTGCAGGGGGAGATCAAACGTCAATAGTATCCCTTAGTTAAGTTGAACTCTTTATTAACCCTTTCCAGCAGAAAAAAACATGAACGTCAATTATACTGAAGTGTAATAGAACTTCAATTACATTGGCATGATTGAGTCACAATCCGTTAAATCAACATTTTTTTTCTTAAAAGAATCAAATTTTGCCATCATGATATTGTCGTGATTTTATTTAACTTCTTTGGCCACTATTAGTACCCGGCGCCATAAAGGGGTATAAACGATAGGGACCCTAAAACAAATTGGCACAGAATTTAATTGGGGGTCTGTTAAATATTGTCAATAGTGGCGCCCTTGCTTTTTATGTTATATAAGTTTCATGTATGGCTCTTCTTTTTTGAGTTGTACTATGAAAGTGAGAGACACGGTTTATGGTGGTGCGGTATGTTAAAATAATTATTAGATGATTATTAGAGAGTAATAGACAAACATAGAGTCTGTTGAGTTACTCTAAATGAAACACACCCAGGAAGAGGGTCAAAGAAATTGTGGATTCATCCTTCGTAAGTTGGAAGAGCTGCGCGTCTAATTGTTCAACAGAGCCTAATATCTCTCAGTGGCTGGGTCCCTGCTACCCAATGCACTTAAAAATGCTGCTACTGTACGTACCAGTGCAGTAGACTTGTTTTTCCCGCACGTCGAATGTTTATCAGAACACACATAAAGCCATAAAACTATAACAGACAAATACAGTCATGCAGTATAGTTCACGTAATAACTTACTAATAACTTAATAACTTACTTACTTCTCAAGAATGACTGCATTGAGGACTCAAATAAGATTAAACAAGAATTCATGTAATTTTATTCGTATTCCACACCACTAGTAATTGCTCAAGCTTTGATTAAAAACATCGTCCTCGGACACACTACGTAGAATGAAGAAATGAACAGAGGGCGCTGTCCACTGCAAGTAGCGTTAACGACATTCGGGAATACAAGACCAAAGTTTCGGTTTTATTTATTCAGAAACAAAAGTGAAACCACTTTGTGACATTCTAAAACCTATATTTTATATAACTTTCAGTAGCATATAGAAAATGCACTGCAGTATGTGAAAGAAACCGTTTATTGTGAATTTTGAGTTTTTCCTCGCAATTTTGTTTAATAATACAACGTAAAGTAGGCTACCTGTAATAAACTGTAAATAAACTGTAAATAAGGTTTTACGCAGAAAATAAACAAGGAAAGCTTTGATTAGTTCTTAAAATGCCCATATTCCATTCACGCATCCGATTTATATAACTTTTAATTTCTAAACGTTTTAATGATACCTAGCGCGCAGCCGCATACACTCAAGCACATAACAGTACGTAACTCTTCAGAGAACCGGTTTAACGACAGAGTGAAAAGACTATGTATGTAGAACCGTAATCCGAATAATAAAGATTGAAATTTTCATACGACAAAAATTAAAACGACGATAGATAGATAGATAGATAGATAGATAGATAGATAGATAGATAGATAGATAGATAGATAGATAGATAGATA